ATAATTAAAAGAACGATTTTTATTATGGATTTTACTAAATTAAAACATTATATTGGGTTGTCCGGAAAGTTCATGCCAATATTGAAGGAAAATTGAAACGCAGAAAATTTAAATTTTAGTATACATTTATTAAATTATATAGGTTATTCGGCACGAACTTTCCGGACAATCCAATAATAATAAGATGAGATGATACCATTTCGAACACGATACAGTTTTGAATAAAATAAAATTTGAATCCAATTTCAAAGTTCAAGTTTAGCATCGTAAAAATAGATGATTTAGGACAGTACAAGTAATTTGAGACAAATATTTTTGTTAAATTTAATCATGGTATCCATGAGTCTCTAAAGAAAGTTTAAGTTTTAAATTTTTTTTAATGACTCGTGGATGAATATACTACGAATTTAACAAAAGTACATGCTGTTCCAAGTCACCTACATTTGCGGCATAACCCTAATGTCATCAAAGGTATCAAAGGTATCATCTTAAATAGAAAAAAAAAACAAATTTGAATCTAGAAAATTAAATATAAATCTTATTTTATTCAGAATTATCACGTTCGAAATTATTGTATTACCTTACTATACAATAAAATTAAAGCGATACACAAACGCTTCTTCAGACACGTTAATATACGAAATGCTCAGAGATCTTCAGATCTTTAGGTTATTGTCGGATTTATACGGCTGAAAATCAGCCGTATAAAAATAATCCACCTATTTAAAAGAATTCGAGTTTTATTACAAAAATACAAAGGCGCAAATCTGAGATCCTTACGGATAATTTGCCTTTGAAACGTGACCCGGCACGTTTCGTTTCTTCCTTCGTAGAATCGCGATTTATGCGCGCGATTAGAAGCGAGATTGTGCCTGACGATCGGCAGTTGTGATTTTTCAATCGCGAGAAACTCTCAATTGGCCTTGATCAGGGCCACGACGTGTTCGTGTTCGGCAAAATTGTTCGCCTGCCATGGCCTTTTTACTCCCTTTTTTCCACATCGCAGATCGCAGACGTCCAGGAATCCCTTCTCTGGCACAATAAAATCACACGACCCTCGTCCTTGGCGGTGTCGGCGTGATGACCCGGACTCGCGCGAGTACACGCAGTGTGTGATATTCACGCATGCCTCGAGCGAGTATTATAATGACATAAAGGGTTGGCGCAGGGAATCAACCTGTCTACTGCTGCAATGTGTAAACCTGATATTACGAGCATTTGCATATATCTTGTTTCTCTAAGAACAGCACAGACTGTCAAATAGAACTGTTACTTTTGATTGGTTTCAAAGATTCAAATTTTTTCGAAGCTACAAAGTTAACCCAAATGACAAATTTATTTAGAAAATGCTAAAAATATTGTTTAAAAAATTAATTAATATATACAGGGTTTCTGAAATAACGCTCACTAATCATACAGTGCTATTCCTAATAAAAAAACTGAATCGAAAAGTCCTCTACCATTTTGTAATTTCCACAATATTTTTTTTACTTACCCAATGAACAAAATGTTTAAGATCGACGTAAAACAACTTTAAAGTATTTAAGAATCCTTTAAGAAACATCTTCAAAATATTTCACAAAGAACACTAAAGATATCTTAAAATTATTTTATACATCGATTTTATTTGTTTATTCAGTAATGTTTAGAAATTAATATCTCTAACTATTGTGAAATAGTACAAGAGAATTGCAAAATAGTACAGAACTTTTTGACTCAGTTTTTTATTAAAGAAATAATACAGTAGTGATTAGTGGGCGTTATTTAAGAAATATTCTGTATAAAAAAATATAATATTCTTAAAAAATATAATATTCTTAAAAAATTTGGAAATATATTAATAATATTATAATTTGAAATATTATATATTAATAATTATTTAGATTCGATATATATGCAAATAAAGAGGGATAAAATTAAAGTAAATCCAATTAAGAAAATTAAAAAGTAAAAATAAATTTATTCTTAAACGAATGAATAAAAAAGTAATAAATTAATATGAATATTTTGACTTCACTAATTATAAGTCTTCATGAGCATAAAACAAAAATTTCAAAAACAGAAAATCGAGATAAAGTTGTAAAATCGATAATTAAACTTATGTATTTTTTAATAAAAATTACACACAAAAATAAACAATATTACAGCATAAAAAAAAAATAAAAAAGCCTCATTTCTAAAATTTCAAAGAAAAATATCTCGCTTAATAATTTCAAGATTGAAAAAAGAAAAATGCGAAATTTTTTATATGTAATTTAAATTAATTCTATTTTCTGGTTGATGCTTTCCTAACGCTGAAATCGTTACTTAATGAGATTCATATCTCGCAATCGTGTAACTCGATTCCAAGCTTAGAGAAGGAAATTTCGCATTCTTCTGGTCATCGGCAATATTATCACAATGAAAAATCGAAATGTAAGAAAACGTGGGCGGGTATAGTATCCGCGGAATATCGCGTTCGATCTCGGCACAACGGACTGGTACTCGTGCAAATTTTTTCGTTATGCCTAGCGCGCAAACACGCTATAAATAGGGGGACGTTACGATAAGCAGGAAATACAACTTCCATAATACGATGGTCAGTTACCTGCGTATTATTCTGAATTTCAAACAGCCACGAGAACGACGGCACTTAATTCACGCCCAAGCACACGTGCGCATCGACATCACCGATTTAGAGTCAAGTTTTAATATCGGTACGAGACTCCTTATACGCTTGGCTTTTAAGGGATCGATCGCGACGTTGATTCAACCACGGAATCTCGTCGCGTCTTCCTACCCGGATGCTAGGCTCTCTCTTGAGAATGTCTCGTGCAGAATTCTTATGGGACGCAACGCGTTTGTTTGTCAATATCTAAGCATCCCGCTTCCTCATTCCTCCCGGCGGGCACCGTTTTGCGGGGCTAATCCGATGAGACACGCCTTACGAGTGAGTCCAAGCGCGGGCGAGGTAAACGGCGAACCGTGACCTTTCAGATGGTTCTTCTCGCTTCCGGTCATCGTCCGTGCGAATCTTATTCTTGAGAACGCGACGAGACCGTGGGCGCGGATCTCGTCCGCAAGATTCGTTCTCTATTTACCGCTACCAGCGACAGCAGCAGCATCACGTGGGTGAGAAATACCGGGGCGTTGGTATCCGTAGGCGAAGATAGTCCGCGAAAGCGTGGATAATCAGAGAATAGGCTCCCGCATGTCGGCGCGAGCACCGAAGGCCGAGAAGACGAAGAGGACGATGAGGAAAAAGAAAACACGCGACGGAGGATAAGGAAAGAAGGAGATCGCATACCCTATCGAGGGCGAAGGGGACGAGAGACAATAATAGTCGTGAACACGGCAGAAATACTCGATTACTC